AAAGATCGATATTATATTGGGCAGCCGAATATCACGATATATCGCCAAAACGATTATTTCCCACACCCCTAATTGATAGACAGGTGGTGTCACTTCAATTGAAAAGCTTCACCTGAGGAAACGATCTGCATGGCATGTGGCTGCCACAAGGCTTTTCCCCTCACACCCAAAATGTGATTTATAATGAAGTGCACAAAAAGAAGCCTTGGAGTCCCTCACCGATTTAGAAAATACACAAAATACATTTCAGTTGAAGGCAATCCGTTGCACTGGACTAGGGCTGCAACTAATGATTTTTTTGCAAATCAAGTAATCTGTCTATTTTCAAATAATTGATTAATAATCGGATAGCCAAAGGTTCATTAAAGAAGACTAAAACTTTTCCACTTGAGGAGTTCTGGATGGAGCATATTGACAGATGAAAACGTTTTTTTGTTTTTTTTTTTTGTTTTTTTTTATCTTAAATGCAATTTTGGTATAATTACTGCTCTAAATGCGAGTGGCTCTGTCAGCTAAAGGCATGTTTTATAGTGTCTATTATCCAGTTAACCCTTCATCGGTTACTAAATTAGTTGACGATTATTTCCAGAATCGATTGCTTCACTGGGCTGTATGCTGGTAAGGCATATCCAGCAGTGTATTGCCTGTTGAAGATGACTACTGCATTGATGGCGATACCCATAGATTGAATAACAGACAAGTCGGTTGCTGAATTTTTATATTGAACATGGCTGTTGCTGCACAAAGTGCAATTTTTGACACCTTTGTAGTAGTTAGAGCAACAAGAGGCCATAAAAAGTCATTTACAAACCTTGTTTGCCATCTTTACTAAGATCCAGTTGATCAGATAAGATGGACTTGGCATACTCTATAGAACTAATGTTAAACATTAGTCAGCAGCGGCTAACTATGTCAGGGTCTCATTTGTCCGGCCTGATTGAGTTTCCATTTTGTCAGCTGGCGCTGCTTGTGCACTCCAGGAGTGTAGCTGGAAGGAAAGGACACGATCTACATCCATCTGATCACTAATGAAATTGCTGTTTGGAACTTCTCTGCATGTCTCTTTGTCCGCACCTGGTGGCCACATCACTGCACCGGAAGTCCTTTTGATGCCAGCCTGCCTGTAACCGTTATCTTCTATGGACCCAGATCACATGTCGGAACTGCATCCTCAAAGCTGAACCTGCTCATAGTCAGCATGGACTGTAGTGGCTGTCAAAGGAACAATAAAACCTGAAGAAGCTGAATTGCTACTTGTATTTTAACAGATGATTAATTTACAGAACAGTAGATGTTTACAGAAGAACCTAAGCCTCTCATTGGAGAGATTGACATTTACCCTTTCAGTAATTCCACTGCTTTCTAACCTGCACAGACCTGCACAGGGAGCACTTTTTTTTTTCTTTTCCTTTTCTTTTCAACTCTAACCCAAAGTATTTGATCTTGGCTTTCATCCCTGGGCTTTAACCTGGCACTTGCGTACACTGCTCCTGTCACGCCTCTCCATTTTTTTTTGCCGTAGGGACTGGAATTTGGATGACATCTGTGAATAGGTTTGAATTAAGCTCCCCAATCTTTTGGTTGGTATATACAGGTTTGGTCTAACCAGATGAAGACGCCATTAAAAAGGCATTTTAAAAACCAGAGTTGATAGTTTGAAGCTGCTCTCCACGTTGCCTCTGTCTTGACATCCCTATCTTCATAACCAGCTACAAACTTTGGCACTAAGATGGGGCTGAATTTTAGAATCTATGATTCATAAGTTTTTTTAGTTAAGTTTGAATTTTACTTTTCCACATTTTGCTCATAGGCCAGTGGTCCACGCTCTTCTAACTTCTTTTACAGCGTTACAGCGCCACCAACTGGCACATTAGCTATTCCCTTCATAGCTTATATAGCTTTATAACTTCAGTTGATTGCATCTTTAGACACTGCGGCTACCATATTCTGCTTTGTGTGAATGTAGAAATATTTTTTTAAACTGTATGTGAATTTTGAACAGGTACTGCTTTAGCCACCTGTGATCCTGGTAAGACCAGGAAGGATGTTCTCATTTGCTGGAGATGTTCTGGTTAAAGATCTTTGCAGTCACACTGTCTAATCAGTTAATAGAGTAACACCAGTTTGCTTATGAGAGACAATCTAATGTATACATACTTCAGAATACACACGTCTCTCATCTCAGCTGGTCACTGTTGCACACAATCATAGTTTTTTGCGGGGGGGAAATAATGTATATCTCCATGCATTTTACATGGTATAAATGAACATTCTTAAACCTGAATGCATTGTGTTTTTTGTATGAAATTGTTCATGTTAGGCTTAAAAAAAAGAGGTAAAAAATTACTTTGGGTTGGATTGTGCCAAAAATATTTCTGAAAGATATATATATATTTTTTTTCTTCTTTTTTTTTTAAGCTAAACTCCCCAACAGCACTGCTAGTAGGACGTCTCTGATACGGTTTATCTGCCAAGAGTGCAAGTAGCTACGCTTTGGATGCACCAAGCTGGAGGCTAATGTACGCTGTCATGGTTAGCTACACATACGGAGCTTGTCATAGCTGTTGCTAGGAGACAGCTGCATAGGCCTCCAGTAAACAATTATCCTCTCCACTCTGTGGCTCCCTCCCTCCCCCACCCATCCATCCTCCTTTGGTCCCAGGGCTGCTGCGTGGAAAACCACTCGCACAAGTCTCACCTGTGTTTTAGCTCGACTGGGTATTGATTATGCAATTAGCCAGTCAGCAGGAGCTTCCGAAGTGGTTTGTTTGGA